AAAAATCATTACAATCATACGATAACAAGTAAGCATTGACTAACAAAAAAACATGATTTAGGTACTAATGTAACTACCTAAATTGCCCAGGTAAAAATGAAAAGCTCATTAGACATATCTTCATAGCATCAAATGTAAAGCATACATAACAAGCAAGCATGACTAACTAACATACATGATTTTGCAGCTACTACATAAAAATTTAAACATAACAGGGACTTACCAGCATATTCAGGTGCAAGATAGCCAAAAGTTCCAGCCAATCGCGTCTCGACAGAATACTTACCATCCGGTGCATTTTTTACCAATCCAAAATCCGCAACCTTTGCTCTCATGTCGTCCGTGAGAAGTATGTTTGTGGGCTTCAAATCCCTGTGAATGAAACTCTGTTGGGCTAAACTGTGAAGATACTCAACTCCTCTGGCCACATCCAAAGCTGTTGTCACTCTCTGTTTCCAAGTGAGAGGAGGATAGCCATGCTCCTGCCACTCGAACAGATGCTGGCTCAAAGTCCCCTGGGGCATGTACTCGTAAACCAGAAGCCTCTCGTTGCCATTAATACAGTACCCCAAGAGCGCAACCAAATGCCGGTGTCGAACTTTGGTGAGGACAGCAATTTCGGCTTGGAACTCGTTCAGTCCCTTTGTACCCATCACCCCAGACTCCATTCTCTTCACAGCAATCTTAGTCCCGTCTTGCAATTCCCCCTTGTAAACGACCCCAAATCCTCCTCTGCCCAGCACATTATCCTCACTGAAATTGTTTGTCACCTGTCTGAGAATCTGTATGGAGATTGTAACATTTCCACCCTCGAAAATGGGTATTTCGGTGTGGTCCCCACAACTGCTCTGGCTTTGTAGCTCGCTTGGAACTCCATTATACCCACTCACACCACCACCGTTGTTCCCATAGGGTTTAAATAACTCCTTCCCATTCTCGGACCCCTCGACCCGGCCAAATCGCTTGTGCCGTCTCTTGATATAGCATTTATAGGAAACAAACAACAAAACTCCTGTAAATACCAATACGGCCACCACAACCCCAGCAATCATAGCAACAGAACCAGACGAGCCCTTTCCCGATCCAGACGTGCTTCCATTCGAATTCCCACTTTGAGATCCCGGGGGCCCACCTCCACCAGATATATTCCTACCGAGAAGCAAATTACCATTGTGATTAAATCTCACATCGGCTCGAAATGTCGGGATAGTCCCGGATAAGTTATTGTTCGACACATCTATGCTTTGAAGCTGAGGCAAAGTAGTAAGGGCATCAGGAATGGTGCCAATGAGATTGTTATCGTTCAATACCAAATTCCTCAAAGAGGTCAGATTGGCAAAAGCGGGTGAGATAGTGCCCGAGAACCCCCGTCGGCCCATGTTCACGATGGTCACATTTCGTGCATCACAATTAACAAATCTCCATCCTTGGCAGGCATCATTCCCTTCCCATGACTCGGCCAAAGACATGGGATACCCTAGAGCAGCCGCAACATCAAGAAGGGTGCTCACCTGCGGATCACATGGCCCTGGTACGCTTAAACAAAAGCTATTGGTGGTCCCAAGTTCTACATGAATTCCCGCTCGAAACTGCGGAAAAGGACCCTGCAACTTGTTGTTCTGCAGAGTAATGTTGACAAGAGCGGGCAAAGCCATCAGAGAAGGTGGAACCACGCCAGTAAACCTGTTGTCCCTCAACTGCAAATCGAACAAGGAGTCACATCTGGACAGATCGGGAAGCCCACCTGAAAACGAGTTAGCGTGCAGCCAAACTTGCTCCAACTGAACCATGTTACCCAACACATCAATTGGGCCAGACAAACCTTGATTGTTGAGCCAGAGATTTTGAATCTCGGACCCGGAGAAAGATCGGGGCAAAGATCCGGTCAAATTGTTGTACGACAGCCTCAAATTTAGCAGATTGGGGAAAGACCCGAAAATATCCGGGATGCTGCCGGTGATACCGGCATTACTAGCAAAGAAGGAGACGAGATTCGAGCTTTCAGTCAAATAAGAAGGGATTTGCCAAGGACGTAGGTTCGTGTTCTGACTTATGCTGAAAGTCTGAAGATTCGGTAGGCCCAAGAGGAAATTGTTAGGGACAGATGTGAAGTTGTTCTGGTCAAGGTAGATTTGTTCGAGGGAAGTGATGTTCTGGAAAGAGGGCAGTGTTCCGGTGAGTGAGTTTCTCTGAACCGCGAGGGATCTGAGCTGGGAAAGCTGGTTGAGCTCAGGGGGAAGAGAACCAGAGACTCCGGCGGAGTTTAAGTCAATGGAGGTGACAAAATTGGAGGTGGAGTCGCAGTTGACGTTGGTCCAGCTGCAGAAGGAGGTGGAGGCCGACCAGCCGCGAGGGGCCGGCGAGAGGGAAGTGAGAAGAGTTGACATGACGGCGGCGTCATCGGCGGCGGTGAGGAGCACGAGGCTCAGAAAAGGGAGGAGGAGGAGGAAGACGGGATGATGAGTTTTGGGGTCCATTGGTTCAACTTTTGGTAGAAAGAGGGGAAATGAGTGGGTTTTATTTCGAGGGTTGGTTTTTGTAGGGTGTGTTTGTTTGATTATATTATTCATTTATAATTGGCCTAATTGCTTGAAAAACCTCGACTTTTTACTAAATTGCATATAAATCTTGAATTTTTTTTAAGTTGGCTATTAAATTCCCAACCTTTTATATTTGTTGCATTTTAAGCTCCTACGAGATTTCCGAGCCCATTCTTGCTGAGCTCTCCGGTGAAGTGATGAGATGGCAGAGAAAAAAACTAATGTGGCTTTTATGCCTTATAACCAAAGTTCTAAAAATCGGTTTAGGCGGCCGCCTAGGCAGCGCCTAGGCGCTAGGCGGTGCCCGAGCGCCTCCGATTTGCACAAATCAGTAGAAAAAATCGTCCACACGGCTAGGCGACGCCTAGGCAGCCCTAGGCGCTCTTAGGCGGGCTCGACGGCCAAGCGGTTAGGTGGCGCCTAGGCAGACATAGGCGGACCTAGGCTCTTAGGTGGGCTCGACGACAATTTTTTAGTTTTTTTTTTTAATTTTTTTAAATATTAATTGCATTATTTTGTTATCATATTTTCTTTAAAATATATTAATTTGATTATTTGGACTTAGGTGTGTCGATTTATTATAAGTTGAGATAATTTTATTTTGTAGGTAGTTAAAATAAATAATACATAAG